AGAGAGAGAGAGAGAGAGTTAGGTAGATAGATATTTAAAAGCCACCCTATTTTCTATGGAAGATACCTGATATAGTTTCTTATTGGTAAGGAAAACTCAGTCACATATCAGATTAGTATACTGTTATTTCACAGATTTCCTGGCAAACTCTGGCTTCTGTAATAGAGGCCTGGTTATTAATATTATGAGCTATACTTCAGGAAAAGTCTGAAAACTGGTTATACTCAAACACGCATGAAAATATAAGATTTATAATAAGAAGGAGCCATAATAAGAAATAATAAGAAAGTTCACACTGCTATATTCTTATATGTTCTAAGCAAATATTTATAACTTGTATAACAACAATATGTATTTTGAAAATACTCTGAGCATATATTATATTTATGGATATAAGTAGTATCATGCAGCTAATGTATCCTTTATAAAACCTCCAGATATTTTTAGATTATATCTCCCACAATGCCTCTTCTGAGAATTTGGATCTCCAACCCACATGAAGGAAAACTGTACACATGTTTTCTAATGACAAATGTATTCTTGATACAAAAGAAGTTCTAACACATTCTTTTGAGCAACGCATATCTTAAACTCAGAATGCCCTTATTAAAAAGTAAGAGTAGTCTTACAGAGTTTCATTACCTGGGAGAATCTTTGCCCATTTTACCACCTGAATCATCTGCTTGCCAGCGAGACGATTTAAAGTGGAGAGCAGGTGTTCCGCTGTGTCTGGTTTTGAACTATCATATCCTGCATACACAATTTCAGGCTCGATGTTTTCTAGAACCATAGCAGGCGAGGGAGTAAGTGCTGGTGAAACTGCAGATAAGTGAGGAACAAGTGCTGTGTTCACAGAAGGTTCTTTTGCTGGAGCAATATAGGTAAGCCCTTCTTCTGGACTTTGTGGTGGCTGCTGCGGCTGCTGAGGTGGCTCTTCGTGGATACCTTTTAACTTGCCCAATTTTTTTGACTTCCGGGCTGTAGCAAAGATGAATCATAAAATGGGGATAAGAATGTAGTTGTATCATACAACACCATAAATTATCCATCTTTTTAAAAAACTATGTAAAACACACAAATAGCACTGGGAAAAACCAGGTCAGTAATTGAATAATTATATAATATATAATTAGCATTAGCACTTGGACTTATATATCACTTCACAGTGCTTTACAGCCTTCTCTAAGCAGTTTAGACTCAACATATCACCCCAAACAATCTGGGTCCTCATTTTACCGACCTCGGAAGGATGGAAGGTTGAGTCTTTCATCCTGAGCCAGCGAGACTTGAACTGCCAAACTGCTGGCAGTTGGCAGTTAGCAGAAGTAGCCTGCAGTGCTGCATTCTAACCACTGGGCCACCACGGCTCTTAATAATAACTGAATAACTCTTAATAATAATAGAAATATATTTTGAAGCAGGAAATTGCATACAGTATTTCCCAAATATATTTTACTATGTATCTCATATGGATTTAGCAAAGCATGATTATTCTGTTAAATGCAAACCACCATCATAAGCCATTTAAGTTCCCTTTATTAACTGAATCACTTATTATTTTCTCGCTCTTTTGTTTTGTAATATTCTCAGCTAAGCTTTTTCTCGACTAGTTTTGAAATTGCACTTTATGATTCCTTTAATATAATTAACAGAAATATTGTTAAATGCAGCAACTCAAGTAACAGCTACCAAAATTGTACTTTAAATAATTCATATTTATTACCTTCTAATATCATTAGTAACCTGGGTCACAAACTAAGAACTTCCATATTACTGTAGAACATTTGCACAACTGCATAACTTTTATTTTCTTGAATGGCAAACAAGTCTGCATTATGGATTATTTTATATAAACTCAATTACAATGATCTAGACACACAGATATGAATATGTTTTTTGGTATTATCTTATAAATTATTTTTAAAATAAAAAATATAAGTATTTTTATATTTCCTTATTCCATTCTTCATAGTATAAACTCCATAAACATGAGTTTATATTAATTTTATTTAAATGCATCAATTGCCATATAAAATATTTTTTCAAAGAAACAGTGGTAACTGATATATTTATTATGTTCACAGTTGTTATTTAAAATGCATTCTATCCAGTTGTAATATACTTTGCTCTATACCTCAATGGGTTCGAACCCCTGGGCCACAGACTGGTATCCCATTTCCCTGAAAATAAGACCTCCCCAGATAATAAGCCCAATCAGGCTTTTGAGCGTATGTGCTAAAATAAGCCCCTCCCTGAAAATAAGCCCTTCCCAAAAATATTGCAACACAGCAGCAGCCATGAGGTGACCATGCTCATCACCTCCTGCACCTCAAAAATAATAAGACTTCCCTGAAAATAAGGCCAAGTACTTATTTTTGGGGTAAAAAAACCGCTGTCTTATTTTTGGGGGAACCCGGTATCAGTCTGTGACCTGTCAAGAATCGAGCCATGCAAGTGGCAGGCAAGTAAGCAAAGTTTCATCTCCACATGCCCATAATAGGACTATGTAATGTTAAAGTTCTTGATTTAAAGAGAAACTAAAACATAATCAAATGTGTCTTGAATTTAGAAAAGCAAATTTTAGTAAATTTGGAGCCTGGTTAAATACGATCTCATAGCAGAAAAAATTAATGGGAAAAGAACTCAGGATCAGTTGCATTCCTTAAGAAAGAACTAATAGTTAAACCACAATTCCATTCAATCTCAATGGAGAAAAACAAATGGAACAAAAAAGTAACTCAAAGTGGTTACACAAACTTGAAAATAAGATAGAGAGAGGAAATAAAAGGGGACTAAATCAGAAAGAAAGAATGCAAGTTGGTAGAACAAAAGAGGTGCCTATTAATCAGATAATTTTCATAACATAATATATGATTTATTTAGACACAGTACATATTAAACATTTGACAAAGTATCCCATCACATACTGATTAGCAAGCTACTTAACTGTTAACCATATGGCATGACAATTAAGTGGATAAGTATTTAGCTCAAAAGTCCTTTTCCATGGATTCTCATCAAATTAAAGAAAAGTATCAAATGGAGTGGCCTAAAGGTCATTACCGGATAATTTCATTATTTATAGCTTGGATGAAGAAGTGGAAAGAATTCTTATAAAATTTGCAAAAATTGAATGAAATAGAGGAGAAAGTAATAAAATCAATAGGTTCAATAAATGGGCTAAATGTAAGAATGAAATTTAAAATGGACATGTTCAATATTCTTTATTGAGGAAATAAACATCAAATACAGAGTTACTGGATAGGAAATATGATTTTTTAAAAAGATTTTTAAACAATAATTTGTTTAACAATTTGGCACAAATTGGGCCACTGACAAATAAATAAATAAATGTTAGGTTTCACCAAGCAGTGATACCCAAATCTCGAGAAATCATTTATTTTCCCCTGCCAAGCACCATGTTCTACAAAAGATTCAGAGAAATTGGACAGAACAATCGAATGATAAGGGAACAACAACTGATTTATGAAGAGGTACCCAAGAGGCTGAGTATTTTCCCTCAGGAAATGATAAGTGAGAATAGATACAATAGCACTCTTCAAATACATGAAAGGGAGTCGCATAAAAGAAGATCAAGACCTGTTTTATCTTCTTCCAGAGTAGAGAGCATTGAAAAATGGATTTAAGTTCTTGGAAAAGAAGTTCTTGTTGAATGTTAGAAGAAAGTTCCTAAAGGTAAGAACCATTCAACAACGTAAGCAATTACCCAGGGATGGGCTCTCCTTCAGTAGATATGTTCAAGTAGAAAAGCTAGGCAGCTATTTCTCCAAGACACTTTAATTTTGATGCCTGCACTTAGCAGGAAAGTAGACTCAGTGGCCTAAATGGCCCCTTCTAACTTCCAAGATATATTCTTTTTATTATTACGATTCTTGGCACATTCAGCCAGAATTTTTTATTGGATTTGGCAGTTTTATTCACCTATCGAATCCTTTCCAAGGACCTGGAAGATGCTGCTGTTTGGTGGTGTTAAAGAGCTCTCTTACAATTAATTATTAGTTATTTATTAACATAAGTTTATCTGAAAAATTAACATGCACTTTACTATACAGAATGTGAGCCTCTTTTCACATTGTATAAGCTATTTTTATTTAATGAAAAGTAAACATAAATATAGATCTTTGTATGCATCATTACCCATTCACTCTGGAATAATATAATTATAATATAATTCAGTTGATGAAACCAACTGATTAATCCGGATCATATTCATATGAAATGTATGAATAATTGCTAAATGTAAACTATTTTTATGTATTAGCATACTATGTCAATATGTATAGAAATACACTTTTAAATTATTTAAGCAAGCTTTCTGAATTTTAAAAGCATACCCCAAGTACAGCAAAACAAACAGATCTTTTATTACATCCCCCTTCACCCCACTTTCATTTTCCGGCACTGTTCTCCAGCTAGTTTATGCATTGTCAGCCAACTCTCCTGCTAACTTTGTTCAAACAATTTTGTCTCAACCAGAGCCAAGAATGGTCCATTCTCTTTTCAACTTGCTCTCTTGTTGCTTCCACACCCAAATGTTCCCTTTGGCTGAACTTTACAAGTCCTAAAAACCAATCCCTATTTTTCATTCTAAGCTCAAGATTCTCTTGCTCCACTCCTTGATTCCACCTCTGTTACTGAAGAGTAACTTTTATTTTTCTTTTCTTTTTCTATTCTACAATAATAATGATTCTTCTACCCATTTTAAGCCAGCTATAGTTTAAATACCTTACAACTTCTCATGTCTGAGTGATATATAATAAAGTACACTTTGCAGAAAATGCAGACAAAATATTTTCTTTAGCGCTAAAAGGAACTTTTACAATAAGTAACTACTTACTACCACAGTTACCATTTCTGTGCTTCAAAAATATAGATTACAATTATTTGGCAAAAGGAGATATAAAAATGGTAATCATTGTCAACTACAGCATTGTGATCATCTGGAGTGCTGCAGCATAGATATGGTAGTACAATTCATCATAGTTTTTGTGCAAGACAAAAAAAACCTCTAGAAACTTCATTATTTGAATTTCAAGCTGAGAAGAAAGTACTATAAATTGGGGGGGGGATCTGCTACTCTATAGGGAAAAAATGAATAAGAAAAAAAGATATTAAATTGCAAAGAAATGAAGAAAAGCCTGTATGTTTCTGTGATGTACTACATTGAAATATCAGAGCGCAAGAATAGAAAAATACAACTTTTTAAAGAGAGTATTGAAATTAATATGTGTTATTTTACGTAATTCAGTTATACTCTGTATTTTCATAAATTTGGGTAGCTGCTTTTCATGGCAATGTAGGAGGAGACCTATATCAAACTATGGGGCCAAAAGCCAGAAGTCAAATAGGATCACTTCTGGTCCTATTTTATTAAATTTTATTAAAAGATATAAGCCTTATCAGCTGTTAGTGAAGTCAATCACAGCTTATTAATGTTAAAGGTAAAGGTTCCCCTTGCACATATGTGCTAGTTGTTCCTGACTCTAGGGGGCGGTGCTCATCTCCATTTTAAAGCAAAAAAGCTAGTGCTGTCCTGTCCGAAGATATTTCCATGTTAATGTGGCCGGCATGACTAAATGCCAAAAGCACATGGAACACTGTTACCTTCCCACCAAAGGTGGTCCCTATTTTTCTACTTGCATTTTTTGCATGCTTTCGAACTGCTAGGTTGGCAGAAGCTGGGACAAGTAACAGGAGCTCACTCTGTTATGCGGCACTAGGGATTCAAACCGCTGAACTGTCTACCCTCCTGATCAACAAGCTCAGCATCTTAGCCGCTGAGCCACCGCACCCCTTTTAACATTGATAAACATTACCTTTATTAATGTTAGGCCTTTTAATAAAATGTATTAGAAAGGTGCTGCAAGAATCCCTTGATGAATGTGTGCATGAAGCAACTAAGGAAACATATCACAACATCATCTCTTTTGTACACAACACACACATGCACATATGGAAAGGACAAATCTTGCATTGCAATGCTACAATGTAACTTTCATCAATCTGATGAAGCTTCTGGATTCAATTGTTGCTTTCATTTTAATGAGCAACATATTTCCCCCCTTCTTCCCCTCTTCTGAAGGACGTCTCATACAAATGCCCAAACAGAAAGGATCCAGAAGTGAAGACATTCTGCATTATGATAATCTCCAATTTCATTCAAGTTTTTAAGAAGAGATTGGACAACCATTTGTCTGAAATGGTATAGGTTTCTGATTGGACTAGAAGGGGGTTGGACCTGAAGACTTCCAAGGTCCCTTCCAACACTGTTATTCTATTATGTTCTATTCATCTTTTTTTTAATCGGCAAATCTTCAATGATCCAGTTCACTTTAAAAAAAATATGTGACTAAAAGTTATGCTACTTATTTAACAGGATAAATATGAAATCATATAAATAAAATATTATGTGTTTAATTATGCAATTAAATTGTACATTTTCCATATTTTTACTATAATTATTTTTTGTAAGCTGGAACATAGTAGGAGATCTGGCAGATAACATATGTTTTTCTCTGGTTAAACTTGATATTTTATTGGAATCTTTTCACTGCACTACCACAAAAACAATAAAGGAAGAAAAAAAATCCCTTCAACATGACCCATCCAATACTTCAATTAGATACCTGATACCTGATATTCCACTAAAATTTCAGTTATCATCTAACTCTCATCGTTGTTATTCCGAATTATGATTTATTTTTTTAAAATGAGAATGACAGTAAGATTTTACAATGTTTTATCAAATGTCTTTCCCAGTAAGGAATTCAGGATAGAGTTTCCAGGTTCATCCATTTAATACTGATTTAAAAAGAATCATGTAACAGATATTAGCCAAATAAATAATAATAATAATAATAATAATAATAATAATAATAATAATAATAATAATAATAATAATAGAAAGTACTAATACTCATAGTTTATTTACCTCCTAAATTCATTCCAGCTTGAAGACACTTCTGTAATCTGCAAGCTGGACAGTTTTTTCTTCGAATTTTGTCAATTATACAGTCATTCCGTCCCGCACATAAGTAATTGTGCTGCCCTGCAATAAATAAAAGACAAAATATAATAAATTATATTTTAACAATATACAATAAATAAACTATCCACAACACAGACTCACAGCTCTAAACATGAAAGAATTGCGCTTCCAACTTTTATAACCTTTATTATTTTTAAATCTGCCAGAGGTATTTTAAAATAATTGCTCATAACATTTTTGAAAACACAATATTCAATGTGTTCAATAAATAAATAAATCACACCCACATCCACATATTTAAAATCAGTGAACATCGCTTCTTGGCCTTTTGGCTAAGATCAAGTGTAGTATCAGTGAACTAAAGGGTAAAATCTTATTTACTTCTTTTGTAATATATTCCAGATGGAATTTTATAAAATTCAAGTATTTATTATGATGCAAACTTCGATGAACTCAAGTTCATTCAGATCATCACATGATACTATCAAAAATAAAGCTGTCTGAAGAGGTATAAAAGGCTTTGTATGGCAAAGCAAGTTATACATTAAATCTGGTCAAAAAAATGAAGGAGGATAGTAAATGTATGATGCTTTGGGACATTGGTGGTAGAGAAGAATCTTGAGAATACCACTGTATAACCGTGCAAATAAATTAGTGGATAATTGAACAAATCAACCAAGAGATCTAACTACAGAAACAAATGCTCAGACTCAAATTATCATATTACCATGTAAGTCATTGATGTTTAGTCACAGCTTTGAACAGTGACTGATTGTCTGCATTTACAACCTACAGTCTAGGGGTGAAATCAATGTACCTTTACTACCGGTTTGCAAATGTGAGTGCATGCGCCACTTCTGTGCATGTGCAGGACCTTCCGTGAATGCGCAGAGAATCAAAAACTGGGTGTGATGACATCCAGATGGGTGGGAGGGCAGAGCCTGCTATGGAGTGCACCTGCAAAGGTAAGTAGAACAACGAAGGGGGGGGGATTCGCTGTGCCACTTGATTTAGATTAGCTAGAAAGCAGGAAATCTGACAATTCTAGCTAATATAAATCGCTTGTCACAGTTGATCATCAGAAATACCGGTTCGCCTGATCATATCATTTTTTTTTAGTACCGGCTGGGGTGAACCGGTAGCATTTTTTACTACCAGTTTGGGTGAACCGGTCTGAACCAGTAGCATTTTCCCCCTGCTACGGTCACTTAGAACACATTGTATGCAATTGGTTTCTGCAACTTAGGCATTAGGCAAAGTGGTCACTAAGTGAAAATCTTGCGATTTTGACTATGCCTACGATTTTAGTTCAGCTTTTGTTTTTAAAGCATCAAAAAGATATGATCCCAAACAGCTATTGAATGCAAACACCGGGGAAGATTTCTGGAATTTGACTTATGAAGACACTGGATAAAAGGACATATCCTTTTCCCTACTTCCCTTAAGAATGCAAACCCCAGGACTGGAATAATTAGCAAGAAGGAAATGGATGTTTGTATTTATATTAAATGAAAAGGAAGAGATTACAGGAAAGTGATCTTGCAATGGGGAATGTGCATTAAAAGGAATGCTCCAGTACCTGCTGTTTGCCTCGTACACTTGCAGATAGAAGCTACAAGCATTTTATATTTGCTTCCCTAGTTTTCCTCCAGCAACATATGCACTGGGGATTAAAAAAAGTTAAGATGACAATCACAAATGAATATCCAAAGCCATACCCTTTTGTATGTGCATGTACTGTTCAAATTATGGGTATAATAAGAAAGTACAGAAACTTACTTCTTCCATAACACTAGAACTTAAAAGTTATACAGACTAAATAATTAATAAGGAAGTAAACTACAGCACTCCTCACAATACACAGAGTTATTTTACATACAAAGATGAAAGGCTCTAATAAGATTTTAAAATATAAAATAACATTTTGAAATATTTTCATACTATATCTGGGCATAAGCATAATAACCCTTTCTTTAAAATATCTGAACTCAGTGGGGAAATTGCAAATTACACAATGATCATGTGTATGTTTTCATAAGAATGTTTTTCAGATCAAAAGCTTCAGTAATTCTAAATCTGATTAGTCAATCTTATTTTAATCAATAATCAGGAAATTACATAAAAACATAAAATAATAGGCCTAGTTGTCTGAACAACATTATTAGCTGTTGCCTCTTCATCGCTAGAACTCAAAGTTGAACTTCTGTACAAGTGATAAATAAATCTGTATTTTAGAGAAAAAGATTCACATATAGTTATATATTTCTCCTGAGTATTGACACTGAAAGAATAAGGTACACATTCTGAACATCCCTACAGAGCTATAATATGTAAGTGCTGAACTATTTCTATCTATTCACAAATAGACTTTTATCTCTTCACAGACTTTACAGGTAAGTATGCTCTGCTAGTGGGATATTAGGATATTACCTGCAAAAGAGCAAATTGAAGGATGTTGTGTTTAACCCTTGAAAGGCTTTCCTCAGTTTGGAAAAATAAGAATGTTGAAATATTTAACCATAGTTAAGGGGCCTAGGGTTTGACCTCTGCCCTCCAACCAACACCGACTGCGACCTGTCCGAGAGGTAGGAGGAGAACCACCGAAGAACGGTGCCTCCCACCCCCACCTCTCGCAACAGTCGCAGAAGTATACCATGGTATCGAAGGCTGCTGAGAGGTCAAGGAGCACTAGGACGGAAGGATGGCCCCCATCCTTGGCTCTCCAGAGATCATCGGTCACTGCGACCAAAGC